TTACTCCAACATTCTCTATTAGTCTGCCTCATCTCCTAGGATAGACCCAACACAGCTCCCTCCCTGCTAGAACTGGAAATGTTCTGTTCCAGAAAATTCTCCTGCACATATTGCAGGAATTTCTCCCTTTCCATGCACCACACTTGACCTTTCTCACCAGTCTATCCCAGGGTAATTGAAATCACCAATTATCATTACCCGACTTGTCCTGCAGACTTCCGTAATCTGGCAATGAACGCTTTCTGCTACTTCCTCCCCACTATTTGAAGATCTATAATAAATACACATGTTGACCGCTCCCTTCTTGTTTCTCACCTCCAATATTATAAACGTTAATTCAGGAACTGCGTCTCATTCAAGTGCTATGATACCATCTTCGAACAAGACTGCTGCATCTCCTCGCTTTTTAACCACCTTGTTTCTACTAAAAGCCTTATAACCCAAAATGTTAAATATCCTATCCTGTTCTGGCTTGAGCCACATTTTCATCAGTGCTACTATATCATATCCTCCTAGAGCAATTTCAGCTTCTAGTTCCCCAATTTTGTTCACTGTACTTCATGCGTTTTGATACATTCAATTTAACCATTCTCTCTCTCTCTTGCCCATTGGAAGGCAACCACTTCTTTGTTCACTATCAACATCCAAGGCTTCCCTCACTTCCTTTTCCCTGTTCCCAATCTTCCCATTTTAGCCCTCACGAATACTTCCAAAACTAGGCTCATTGGTCAACCCATTCCCCTACCCTACAAGTTTAAATCCCCCTCCACCATACTAGTTTAAATCCACCTCAACTACACTATTTACTCTCTCGGCCAGGAAATTAGTTCTATTGCTGTTTAGATGAAGCCCATCTCTTCTGAACAGCTTTCTCCTTTATTAATTCATTAATTAAATGAACTAAATTAACTAAGTTAATTAAATTAACTAAATGAATTTGAAGAAGTCTAAAGGGAGTGATATGGCATGTGTGGAAGATCTTGCCTCTAACTTCAATAGTTCTGCTCAGACCATTTGCTTGTAGTTTTGGGTGCCACAGTTTCCATATACTTTGTGCTGTAGCATGACAGAGAATAAATTGAGGCTGTGTAGGAGGGCAAGAGGAGGGGGCTCTCAGTAGGAGGCCATATTCAACCAAGTTCTTCAAGCAGAATTGCTCTTGTTCCAATCTCAACAAAGGAACAATTACTAAACGCGTTACTGACTGCAATTTCCTATCAATTGCAGGCACACTGCAGCCTCAGAGCAATGGGTGAGTGCGGCACTGCTAGTGAACGTTGTCATGAACATCCCGGTATCAGGATCCTGACAGGTTGGGCCAGGTGATCTATCCAACATTGCAAATATCTCCCAATGTGCAGTTGTTACAACTCACTAGGGTAATATGCGTTCTCCAAGTGCTTGCATTCTTATGCCTTTGCTTGTTCTAAGTGCTTCCATGTAACGGCACCTCAATTTTTGTAGCAGGGCTGATGGAAGATTGGTCACTTTCAGCTAGCAAAACTACAGAGGACTTTGCAGATCAACTCTGATCAGATCTTGGTCTAACTAACACAGCTTCAGTCTGGAGTATTTCAGATTGACTGGAAGCAGTCTGGACTGGCAACTTGACAGGCATTAACAAGGGCACTAGTACAGCAGCAGTGATAGGAGCATAAATGTTGTCTTCCTGACAGAATAAGCTTTATCTTTGAGTGGTATGGATTAACTTTAACTGATGTCAGCATCACAAAACTTTGGATGTTTTGCTACCACGTACAACCACTCATCAGGTTATTAGTGTTGGTTGCATACACCTATCTTACACATCAGCAGGCAGGACAAAGTTTGCATGCTGTTTATTACAGAAGCAACAGCTATGGGTTACTCAAACATTGTAATACATGCACCCAGATTCCAGTCCTTTCCACCTTAATCGCCGAAATGTTTTTAAATCAAAGCATCCATGAGAATAAAGGATAACGCTACTAATATTGGACCAGGGTTTTTCATTGATCTGTTCTAACTCAACATTTTGTGTTCAGAGTAGATAGAGATGGCACAGTGGCTCAGTGGTTAGCACTGCTGCCTCACAGCACCTGAGACCAGGGTTCGATTTCACCCTCAGGCAACTGTCTGTGTGGAGTTTGCACATTGTCTCTGTCTGCGTGGGTTTCCTCCGGGTGCTCTGGTTTCCTCCCACAGTCCAAAGATGTGCAGGCTAGGTGGATTAGCCATGCTAAATTGCCCACAGTGTTCAGGGATGTACATTAGGTGGGTTATAGGAGGATGGGTCGGTGGGGGGGGGGAAAGAGGGGAATGCTCTGTTGGTCAGTGTGGACTTGTTGGGCCGAAGGGCCTGTTTCCACACTGTAGGGATTCTATGAGATGGTGGTAAGGTGATGAGCCCAGCTGCCTTCCAAGCAGTTGACCAGCATTCAATTTCCAGCCAACCGAATGGCTATTTGTTTAGTGCTCTGTCGCAGATCAGATGTGAATTCAGTCACTTTCAACACAGTCAGGATGTAAGGTTATAAAGAATCAATATGCAGAGGTTGGAGCAAAAGACAGAAGTACGCAACAGTTGTGTTACCAATCTGAGAATTAGCAACTTCCTATTTAACTGCTTGTGACTGACAAATACATAGTGACTCCAGGCACCTAATGCCATCAAATGATTTTCTTCATTCTAATGCCATAGTACACATTGTATCAATCTTCTGATACTTTACGCTGTAAATAGGGAGGTAGGAATCCTGTGGCTAACAATTCACCCATTGCACGATTAAGACACCCACAGCAAATCATACCATTTGTCATCTGCATACTTCCGTAATTTCTGTATCTTGACAGATATAGTTCCTGCTAAGAGTGTTTGAAAAATTTAGGAATAGGTTTAGTTGTATGCAAAATTGAAACAAATTGACAAAACATCAGTCAAGATGCAAGACTTCTATCAATGGAAGTGCCTACTAGAACCTCTGCACCTCCCTCTTACAATTTTCTTTCCATTAGGTCCAAAGCCATTGTAATTTGATTCATGTACTGCACCAGTTTGTATATTAGATGAGCTCTTAGGCCACTTCAGACTAGCTCAAAGCCCAGACCCAAATGCCAACTATCGCTGAAACAAAACGAGCATTTTGAAATACAATCACCTCTCGGTATGTCACTGGAGTAATTTGGAAGAAAAGAGACCCAAACCTATTGAGTTCTTGCTGGATGGAAAGTAATTTTGCAAGCTAAAGTATAACAATGTTGACATATTTCCTTTGGATCTATGTTTGAACAGCGAGTGCACAGAATTCAACATCTAACAGAGCTTTTCAAGTTTTATACAAACATATACATAAACGTTTGAATTTTGAGCAGGAGTAGACCATTTTCCCTCTTGAGCCTTCTGCCATTTGATAAGATCACAGCTTGATATGCAAGATGTAGGCTGTGGTGTGTACTTTCCAGTCAATCCCTTATACAGTTGGGTCTTTTGTCATTCAAGAAGCTATCTAACTCAGCCTTAAAAATATGACCCTCAGAGAAACAAATTCTCCTCATCTTCATCTTAAATGGGTGATCCTTTATAGCTGCAGGTGGCGTGCGAGGTGTAATAGGAATTGCAAAATCACAAGTTCAATTACACTTCTTTAAGAAGAACCTCGAGTACGTGCAGAAATTCATTACCAAAGTAGCTTGTACCCAAGACCCAGGATGGGCACAACTTGGCAGAGAGTGCATTCCAAGCTTCTCTGAACCTCTGCAGTCCGTAGTGCAAGAGATGGATAGAAAAGGGTGAGATCTAACCATGGGAGACCAGAAAAGCCTTCTAGTCAACTCCGAGAAGGCGACTGGACCAGGTATCCATGCAACGAGCAGGGTAGTGTCAAGGACATGGATACAGTGCTGGAAGAGATTTAATGATGTTACAAGAATGGTCGAGATGAGTGAATGCATCTTCAATTAGCAGTTGCAACAAGTGTATTACTAATATTGCACATTATTCAATGCTCCATACCCACATTACATACCTACCAACAATCTCCACCAACAACAGTCAATATCACACATTCACAGCTGTGTCAGCTCCTCCCCACACATGGTAATGTTCACAGCCACACAGTGTGTTTAGACCCCCAGCTAATCAACCATGACAATCATGTCTCCTACACAGATTGTGCCAAGTGCACTGGCACACTTCAATTTCACTTACACATAATCTGAGATCACCTCAGCGAGGACGAGGGGCCGTCATGTGGGGATAGGCACAGCCTCACACCAATGTAGAAGATGGTACCCACCATCACTGAAGGGACCTCAAATTAGGCCACACAGTCAGTGATGGGACCAAATGTATTCAAAGCATTGGTTTGCTCATCTCCTTCTCACAACCTGAAGCAACAGTTAACTGTTGGACAGAATTCTCAGAATAAGGACATTTCCATCAACACCACCAACCCCCACCATTCCGCAGTAAGGGATTTCTTAATAAAAACCAAAAGAACTGCGGATGCTGTAAATCAGGAACAAAAACAAAGTTGCTGGAAAAGCTCAGCAGGTCTGGCAGCATCTGTGGAGGAGAAAACAGAGTTAACATTTCGGGTCCGGTGACCCTTCCTCAGTTCTTCCTCAGCCTTTCCAGCAACTTTGTTTTTGTTCCAAAGGGATTTCTGGCCAGGCAGGGTCTTGGTTTAACATCCCAACTTCAATAGGTCACTAGAGGGCATGCTGCACTCCCTTACCACTGCACTGCTGTGTCAGAACAGATTTTTGAATTCAAGTGTCTGGAGTGAGACTTGAACCGACAACCTCAAGTGCAAACATTCCTGTGGGTTTTTGTAGTAAAAATAGTTAACAATAATTGCATATTTGCTTTTAAGAAAAAAAAGTGTTGACAAATACTTTTGTTTCCCAAAAAAAAAGTTGTTCAGTAGCTTGGATGGGTTTTCAGTGTAAGAGTGATGAAGAAATATTACTTTTATCAAAAAAAATGCAATCACCATCCCGTCCCAGACACACATACATACCTGCATTGTAAAAGGAGTCAAGGACTGGGGTCTCCCCGAAGTCCAACTTGCCGAAAGGGAGGTTGAGCAGCTCGGTATCCCGGCTCTTGCAGGCTCTGGCCAGGCACTGCAGCGCTCCCCACTCGGGGCTATTCAGCTTGGCGGTCTCATCGAGCACACAGACAGCCCTGGGGCACCGCTGCGACCGGGGCACCGCCGAGATTACCGAGCACTCTTCCGAGCCGCCGGCAGCCCACTGCTGCCGCCGCCTCTGGCCCAGCCTGCTCCCAGCCTGCTGCTCCCCCCAGCAGGACGGTGACCCCTGGGCCAGCTCAGCACACAGGGACCGGGACGAACAGCTCTTCTTCATCCCTTTCCCTTCCACAACTCGGACACTGGCTTGTCCCACTGTACTCACTGCACACTGAACTGTACTGTTCGGTGTGGACAGAGAGAGAGAGAAACAAAAGGGTTGGGTGAGCACTCGCTTCTTCTTCGAAGTCACCCAGTCACAGAGACAGAGCTCCGGCAGTTTGAACAGTCAATGTGACGAGAAGCATTAAGAACAGAAGTGAGCTCAGCTCTCAGTCCCCTTTAGGGAACAGGTTGGGTTCAACACACCCTGTCACTAGGATAAACAACACCATTTAACAGAGGAGGTGCGGTTGGGGTATTAAAAATAACTAAATATTCAGAATTTACAAAAAAAATATAGCAAGTATTTGCTTCTAGGTAGACCTCCCAGATGCGATCTTCATATTTAAAAAAAAATTTGCAAAGTATCTAGAGAGAAAAAGGTCGAGAAATGGTTATTACTGCAATCTGTAAATCTCGTTTCGTCCAGGGATTCTGTAGGGTTGCCCGCAATCAGAAAAAGACTCCGGCTCCACCGTGACAAACACGGCAGAGGGCAACCCTGCCAATCCATGCCCCAGGCCGAAGACCCTCAGCTCCATTCCAAATCCCGGAGGATGGAACCAGTGATGCTGCACTGTCCTGTTGGAATTACCAAAAATCTTCAGTGCCATTCTACAAAGGTTAAGGGCCTCAGGAAGCCTACAAAAAAGAACTTAAGCCACAAATAGTATTTGTGGACCCGCCCCCTGAAACTTTCCTTGTTCATAACGGATGAATTTTCCAAAAGAACCGAAATCTCTCCCTACTAGCCCCTTGACATGGGTGGAGTCTGCTGCTATATGTACCAGCCACTGCCCCTATCTGTAATTTAAAGGAGCAGCCAGATAGAGATGAACCCCAATAAACAACAACTTCTATCTATAGAGCACCTTTGACATCATAAAACATCCTGAATCACATCACAAGGGCATTGTAAAAACAAAAGTATGAACATGTCCTTTTCTTTTTACAATGCTCTTGTATCTCCTTATGTCATATGTCAGATAACCAAAAGCTTGGTCAGAAAAAAAAAGGTAAGGCAGAAACAGGAGAGATGGAACTCCAGAGCTTTGGGTTTAGTCAAGTGAAGGCATAGCCACCAATAATGAATTAATTTTAAATGTGCATCTTGCCGATTCCCAGGAGTTAAGACAAACACAAAACCCAGAGGGCTGTCGCTTTGAAGATTAAAGAGGTATGGACAGGGATTGATAAAATGGGAAGTGAATTTTAAATTAATATGTTGCATGATTGCCCATGAGCACAGGGCAAGAGGAGATCAGGACTTTCTCTGAGTTAAGACACTGACAGAAGAGTTTTGGGGTGTTGAAATGTAGGAGACCAGCTAGGAGTGCAATGGAATAATTATGTCCAGAGTTAATGAAACAACGGATGAGGGTCTCAATGCAGATGAACTGAGACAGGGACAAAGTCGAACACTGTTACAGGGGCAGAAATAGCAGATCGTAGAGATGGCAGGGTTATGAAAGTGAAAGTCTAGCCTTCATTCTGGCTTTTCTTGTGGAAGATTTAAACCCTTTTCAAAGCATGAGATTACAGTTAATGTTTGACTTTCATAGTAAAGAAAGAACATACATTTTCTCACATTCTCAAAGCATTTTAAAATGCATCTCAATTAAGAAATCATGTTTGAAGCATGGCTATTTTTGTCACATTAGAAAATGTGCTAGCCAATTTGTGTGCACAGAGACCTCGCAAAAGGCAAATGAATGAATGGTGACCACAAAGTGGAATGCTAACTGGCATAAGAGAAACAGTGTGTTAATTCAGGGAGGTTAGAGTAGCTTGCTATCAGAAAATAGTCAGCCTGTAGTGCTGTCTGGTAGCATCACTTCTGGAACAATACAACTGGGTTGCCACAGTTGTAGGAAGACCTACTAGAATGTTTTTGGTTCCAAAGTATACAACATCAAACTAGATCTGGGACTCCTTCTCATTACTGTGAAGAATAATATGTCAGTGAAGTCGACAAATGTACATAGTTATACAGAGTTGGTTGATTTAGTGAAAGAATAGCAAAGTAAGTGAACATTACCAAGCTGAAAGGGCAAGGATTCATCTGGGTCACTGTTTAAAAATAAGGGATTAGCCAAATAAAAGAGAAAGTGAATTTATCTTTTCTCAAGTCACAAATCTTCTGAAAAGGAGATGGAAGCAGAGTCTTTGAACGGTTTTAAAGTAAAGGCAGATAAATTCTGGGTAAGCACAACAGTAAAACATCAGCAGGGTGGCTGGGAATGGGGATTGGAGTTTAGAATCAGATCAACCTTTGTCTTACTCAATGAAGAAGCATGCTCGAGGAGTTAAATAAACAATTCCAGCTCCTTGTTTTTTTTTGAATGTGCGATATAACAAAATATAACTTGGCCATGAGGGTGAATTTCAGTTTAAATGTTCAACAGAAACTGTTGAGGCTAAACAATGAATTTACTTTAAAGCCACATTTGGATCTGTGTCTTGAAGAGAAAAACATTGGTAATTACTGCAAAAAACTACAGGCTTTAAGATTCTTTACAATTCTATGAAAAATGTTATTTTAACATGTTCTCTGAATATGGCACCTCACACACTATTTGAGCCACTGTTAATGAAGGTAACTGCCACCACACTCTAAACATAGGAAAATACAGGACCTGCTTGGTGGAACATGGTAGAGGAAAACCATTTACTGATCTAACCACAAGAATCACTTATAGTTAACAAGTCAATCATTAGTCACACAGACTAATTTTTTTAATATATGCAATGCCATTGTATAGGTGTTCATGTTGTCTGCATTCTGATTATCTATTAATGTGTTCATTGACTGAAATTTTACCATTCTTTTGGAGATGGTTGGGAGGCAGGAGGGATGGTTAAATAACATGAAAAGCAACAGAGAAGCTTAATGAGATAACAAGGTGTAGAGCGAGATGAACACAGCAGGCCAAGCAGCATCAGAGGAGCAGGAAGGCTGATGTTTTGGGCTTAGACCCTTCTTCAGAAATGGGGGAGGGGAA